ATTAATAATAATTCTTTGACATATATTCGATTTAAATCATCCAAAATAAGAAAAATATGCAGTGTTCATTAATTTTGAACTCATAGTATATACCCCAAAATTAGCACAGACTAGTCAATGTAATGTTGACCAGACAAATTTATGTTATATTCGCGTAATCAAAATTATTATTTATAAAAGGTCCGACCATTTGACCAAAAGGCCATCTAATAACAACTAGAAAATTTATTTACATGTATTGACCAATAATTTGACTAAACCTAGTGTCCCATTGCTGTATTACAATATAATTTAATATCATATTATTAAAAAAACCGTCCTTATGAGAAATATTTGCATTTTGATAAATTTATTGTTGATTATTTTGACATTAAAAAATCGATTAATGAGGGTTTACGCTTATAGGGAACCATTATCAATATTATGGAATGTAGATGAGGCTGAAATACCCAGATTATTAGATCTTGAGAAGAATTTATCTATGATATAAAACCACTATTGGATGATTTAAGCTTTGCTGGAACTTACGTAAATGCAAAACGGAAAAAATTAATTATCTATACAGTAGACTTCTCTAAGGCCAAGCCTTTAATTGCATTACCTAATGTAAACCCATACGTAGATTTTTTGTTATTTAAAAAAGCGCTTAATCCCACAGCTAATTTAACTTCCAAATTTAATCGAATATTAGAATTAGCTAATAAGTATAAACCAGTCAGCATGCATATTTTTAATGACGTAACACTTAATAATATCGTTGTAAGGTCACCTATTAAAAAGCGGAAATATAATAACAAATTTTTAAAAGCAGTTAAACCATTAAATCCGACAATAGAATTTTTCAGAAGTTTTTATCAACATGCTCTGGAGCCACAAAAAAGAAATATAAATCCTATAATGTTACTTGGAGAAGTAATACATAATAGTGAATATGAGTGTGGATTAGGTTTGTTTGCAAAAAATAAAACCAACTTAAATTTAATTTACATGATAACCGCAGGACATTGCTTTGATCTTGGCAACAAAATCTTTTATGACAATGACAATAGGGAAATCGGGGAAGTAAATTTAATTACCCATTTACCATTCGATTATGGCTTAATCAATAGCATAAGACATCTATTCTTATAGAATCTCTGAATAAATTATATTATCTGAATTTTTTATAGTTATATTTTATTTTCAATTAATACGTACTTTTTTCTCTATATATATAGTTTTTTTTTGTCTAAATTTTGCAATATATTCTTCTAATCAAGTTTTTTAGCACGTTCAATTTTCAATAATTTCTTTACATATAAATTTTTTTTATGCTTATTGACCAATTGATAGGTTATGCACCTCATCTGATGATCTGCACCTAAGGTGCATCAGCTGTAATCTAAGGCAAGCATTAGTCTGAGGCACAACAATAATATTATATTTACTAATTACAAGTTTCTTTTAATAGGTGATGAAAGTGATAATAACGATTACGATAATGATAAAGATCTTGCAGTTTCAAATCATAAGAAGTGAAAAATTTCTAAAATTGATCAAATATATTTAGATGAATTAAGGTCATTAAGAAAATCTAAAAAAATTAGTTTAGAAATAGTACAAGAACATTTAAAGATTGAAAATCAGAAATTTTTAAATGAGCTAGAGGGAAAAAAAAGAAAGAGAAATAGAATGTGAAAAATTAAATTGAAAAAAAGAAAAATTTGCGAAAGAACAAGAATTCAAATTTAAATTAGAGATGGAACAGATGGTAAAAGAATTTAAATATAATTTGAAGGTTAAAGAACTCGAATTGAAGTGCAAAGAGTAGTTTTTATTTTCAGGTATATATATTATACAAATATGTATGTAGATAACTTTATATATATGTTGTAAGTAGAAGCAAAATTAAGTAAAAATGGAATTTTTATATAAACCTAGCATTTTGGAGTTGATTTTATCATATGTACACCTTTACTCTAACTCTAATTTAACTTAAAAATTCTGAATCTATTTCCATTTACAACATATATATATAATTTCTATAACAAACTATTATTACTTTATAGTTCCTTTGTATTAACATATTCTTATTTGCCAGGCAGGATATCTTGCTTCACTATGTTCTAGCATATATATTGATACTAGTTTTATTTTTTTTTTTTGATTTTGTGTCTGACCGGTAGACTAGTTTTTGAGTTAATAAAGTTTCAATGTATTTTTTATTATTATGATAAATATATAAATAATATACATAACTCAATAAAGTTTATTAACCTGCCTTGAAAAATTTTACAATCAAATAAAGTATTTAAGAGATTACTCAATTTTATCATAGATCTTTATTCCTGGCATCAACAAATTATTATCTTACTTTTTGTGTTAAAAATCTTTATAGAAAACAGAAATATTAGTAAGTTTAAAAAATAATAATAAATATTATTATTGCTCGATCAAAAAACTAGAAGACACATACGAAATGTAACTCTCATTGACTACATTGCAGACTGCAGTGTGATATTTATATATTAATTATAGTATCTTACTTATATTATAACTATAATGTGCTTTCACTAATAAATTGGATATATCCTAACGTATAGAATCTTATCTGGTACCTGAGCTCTAAAGTTAATATACTTTTAATTCAGTATAACAAATTCTAATGCAATATTGATCAAGCAGTCTTTACGCTATTTAGCTTCAAAGTAATGATCCTTTAATAAAAATATTACTATTTAAATGCTATTTCATAATTTGGTAATTCAGCCTAATAAATGCTAATGTTGGTTGCAACATTTATCAAATAGTCTTTGTGCTAATTAGCCTCTTAGTCACAATTATATTTTAGGTTAGTAGATTAACCTGGATTCATATTTTTTTATATGTCTGAACCAAACTTCACCAACAAAACTTACAATTAGCCAAAGTTGGTGAGTAAGAGAGCGATAGAGCCAATCTAATACTGCAAGATGGGTAATAGCAAAACTGAAAGTGAATATTTGATTCAAAATTGAATGCTTATAAATTCTTAATTACGATATTGATTAATTCTATTACAACTTTATGATACTTACTAATCAACTATGTCATACCTAATTTGTTTTTATTTTATTATATTACATAAAAGGTGAATAAGTTGTGTTTAAATATTTATCTCTTAATACGTTAAGCAGGCAAATTTGCTTGCAAAATTCAATTTTAATGTAATTGCCAAAAAATGAGGTGGGAGAGGTCCCTCTAAAAGATACCTCATTTAATTTGGCTAGACTTGAGTAACATATTGGCAAAATGCTGATTGTATAAATTATGTCATGAATGATCTGCACTAACCAGAAAATGTGCTAATCAGGTTTTGCTGTGCCACACATTCATTGATCAAAATCCAAAAATTGGTTAATAAAGTTTAGCGACTCTTATTTTGGATATTAATTGCTCACACTTATTCTCA